ACAAATACACGATCGTATATGCATCTCTACACGTACGTACATACGTAGAGATAGATAAATAGAGAAAGAAAGAAAGAGAGAGAGAGAGAGAGAGAGAAACGAAACACGAATAAAAAAAGAATAAGAAAAAAAACAAGGAGAATCAAGCGCGAATAAATATTGTCGAACGTTAATGTAAAAAAAAAAAAAAAAAAAAAGAGAGAAAAAAACCGAAAGGAAAAAAATAACCACGAATTTTTATTGGATCGATAACAAATAGATTTAAGGGAAGAAATGTAATATTAGATTTTAACGTCGAATAGATCGCCAAGTTAGAAATTATACTGATCGATCAATGGGAAGAGAGTAATAGGAGATAAATGATAAAGTCGATCTTGATCTATGTATGTATACACGTACTTAAATCTGTATACATACATATATATATATAAATATATATAAATAAATAAATAAATACGAATGATAGATTATGATTTATTATACTGGATAACGTTCGGTTATCGAAAAGAGATCTCGATGTCTCTGCGATTAAAATTAGTGATTATCACGCGCTCGATGTTCGTTGTTCCGAATCGTTTGATTTTTTCTTGTCGTCATATTTTATGGTCGAAAGAAAAAGGGATTGGGAAGATGTGTATAAAAGAAAAAAAAAGAAACAAAAAAAAAGAAAAAGAAAAAAAAAATAAAGAGACGTATCCTAAATGTTTCATAAGCGAACATGTTTGTATGTTATGTAAATCAAAAGGAAGACAGATAAAGAAAAAACGAAGTATCGTAAAAAAACACAGAGAATCGTAAATAATAATAATAATAATAATAATAATAATAATAATAATAATAATAATAATAATAATAATAATAGTAATAATAATAATAATAGTAATAATAATAATATTAATAATAATAATATTACTGATGATATATGATATTAATAATCTGTAAACGAGTTCGTTGTCATTGCTTTGAAAAGAAAAAGAAAAAAAAAAAAAAAAAAAAGAAAAAAAAAAGAACATGAACAAAGAACAAAAAAAACAAAATGTTGATACCTTCTTTCTTTAAAAAGAAAAAAAAAGGAAAAAGAAAAACAAAAGAAAAGAACAAACAAAAATGAAATAAAATTAAAATGAAACTAATTATTGCACGCGCGGCTTCCAAATGTGTATGTACATATATTACATAATATATATGTATATACATACATTTATAAGTATATGTGTGTGCCTGTGTATGTGTGTATGT